AACTATTATGAATATAAAAGAGGACAATCATAGATATATGAAATAAACAAATCTTTATTAATAGTCAAAATGTCTCAAAAAATATTGTTACATTTATTCCTAAGGGCATAAACGCTAACATGCCCCGGGGCTGTCCCGGGGCTGTCACGGGGATGTCCCGGGGTGCCCCGGCGCTGTCCCGGGCCTGCCCCGGGAATGTCCTAGAGCAGTCCCGGGGATGTCCCGGGGCAATCCCGGGGAGGTCCCGGGGCTGTTCCAAGGTTGTCCCGAGGATGTCTCGTGTTGGTCTCCGAATCGAATCCGGATACGGAAGCGTGGCGGGGAGGCGAATCGTGTATAACAAAAATTTTCATAAAACCTTTGAGATACTCTATAGATTATATTAATTTATGCACGAATAAATTAATCTCATTAATTCATTTATTAAGAACTCAATTAGGAAAAATACCTGGAGGCCGACTCGGTTGATAACTTGAGTTCTTTGACCTCGAACAATCCTTGCTCCAAAGCTTTGTGCTTAGAAAACCAATGTCTTCCACGTCAATTCCTAGAATCCACGAAGACGTGTGGGCACACACGAGACAAAACGGGTTACAATAAACACTCGAATTTTCACAAACACCAACGCATGCACGTTGTGGAATTTTTGGAGAAAAATTTTTCCTTCTCAGTCTTAGAGAATTTCGGCCACCTCTAAAAATTAGGGTAAAATTCGTTTTTAAGAATTGTATCCAAAATTGTGTCTCAAAAAATTGTGTCAACAATTTTCTATTATTCTCTTATTTATAGAGTAGAAGTCAAACTTCTAGAAGGAATCCAATATGTATTTCCAAGATAAAGCTTGTTAATTATCTCCTATTTAAATTTGAAACAAAATCTCCTAGACCCTTATCCTTAGTGTGGCCGGCCAAGATAGGGATTCTCATCCTTGTGTGGCGCCAATTTCATATAGGGAAGGAAGAGAAAATCATCCTTTATCCTGTAGTCCAATTTTGACTCAAATTTAAATTCTAATTTAAGTCAAACTTAAATTAATTTGAATTCTAAATTGAACAACTTATCAAATAAGTTTAAATGGATAAATCTAGATGTGTTCAAATTTAAATTTAAATAATCACATTATTTAAATAATAATTAATTCTCAATCAATAATTTTCGAGTATTTAATTTTAGAATTCCGTAATTCTAAAATTCATTACACTCTCAAATTTATAGATATAAATTACTTCTAAACTCTGAAGTGTCCATTTAATATAGTCATTGCATATAGATCGATCCTCCATAAATAATTCATAATTAGAGCAAGGTAAAATCCATTAACCTCTCTAATTACATCTTTATCCTTGAGTACCATTGATTCTCTAATGGACAGTGATTCATAAAATACATTCATGAATCGGAGCTCCTACTGGTCCAAGTACCGAATCAACGCTCAAGAGAATTATTTATCTACTTCTTTCTTAAGAAGGAATGGATTCCATCTCGTATAATAACATTCTCAGCTACCTACTTCATCATGTCTCTAAAATACAAGGAATAGGATTCAGGATCTCAGAATCCGTACCGAGTAAATCAAAAGACACAAATCTATAAATAGGAGTCTGTTAAGAACTCAGGATTAAGATCATTCTATATATGACCATCGGTAGACTAAATTAGAATTTCTATGTTTAACGAAAATTATTAGAAATTCATATTGTGTCTGTGTCCTTGTTCCACATAATCTCATTATGCGAAATACACTCATTCAATATCTCGCCATATTAACAGTGCGGATAACACCGTTCTATTCTAAATGGGAATGACATGTATTAATAATGTTTTAATTAAAGATTCTGAACTTTAATTAAATTCATTATGAACATTACTTTTTGATTATAATCCTTAAACATTATCCTCTCGTATATAACACTTATATACAATGTTTAAGGTTACATAAATAATCATGGAATTTTTATTGATATTCATAAAATATTCACAAATATATACACATAAAATGATGAATAAACTCTTTTATTAAATAAATAATAAATATCTTATTACATCTTATGCTTCTAGGGCTGTCACGGGGCTACCCCGGGGATGTCATGGGGTGTCCCAGGGCTGCCCCGGGGGTGTCCCGGGGCTGTCCTGGGGCTACCGTAGAGCTGTCCCGGGGCAGTCCCGGGGCTGCCCATAGCTATTTGAGTATACACTATCTTTTAGTAAGTTTTCTCTTCAATTATACACATCTCATTTTTAACCTGAAAAAAAAGAGAGTAAAAAAAAAAAAACAGTACCATGCTGAACGTTCAAACTTTCATTCAAGTTCTATTTTAAAGTATGATTATACAATAACCTTAATAGTTAATGCAATGCAAAAATAAATAAATAAAATAAAAAATTCATTCAAGTTTTATTTTAAAGTATGATTATACAATAACCTTAATAGTTAATAGAATGCAAAAATGAATAAATAAAATAAGAAATAAAAAAATATTGCAGTGTTTGTACTGTTCTGCGTTCTATATAATAGTGTCGTATTGTAATTAGTACCAAACAAAGTTCCTTTTTTTTTCATTTTACAAAATTCTCCAAATGCTTCCAACACGCAGATAAATACTTGGTCAAGATCTTCTCTCCTGCTATGGTTTTCTTTTCTCCTCTCTTCTTTGCGCCACCTCTACTGTAGGGTTCAAAGGGCTAGAATTCGGCGCCACCCTTGGGCGGTGCTCCAGACTATTGGCTTTGTGGGAGGGTGCCCAAATGTAGAGGAAAAGCTATGAAACTCCAACCATGCCTCTTTTCTGGTGAGCTTTTGACTACAGATGCTTTGTGCATTGTGCGCCGGCGAGTATGAGGCCATTATGGATGAGTATTCTCAATATCATGCTCCTTGGGAATGGGGCTTGTATGCGGCTTGGCGGTCGAAGACGATGGAGGGTGTGGAGTGATTGTGGTCCTCCTTGTGGTTTGGAGGCTGATGGGAACTTCAGTGCCGGATGGGTGCTTCGATCCTCCTCTGCTTAGTGGGGTTTCGGGTCTCTTAGAGCCGCAGTTCCGTAGGCCTTGAGGCTCTTCCTTTTGGAAGAGGTAACGGATGGAAGCAGTGGCTCGACTCCTTTTTGGTATCTTTTCCGATCACTTGGTTTGCTGCAGCTTCCTCACTCTTTCTTTTTTGGTGGCGGGCGGCTGGCTGTCCCTCAGAAATTCGATTGATGTCGGTATCTCTTTATTTTAGTTTCTAGTTTTATATTTAGTATGTAATAAAGGGGATGTTGTCCTCATTCCTTAGTCATTGGTAGCTGATAGGGGTGTACACAATAACCGGCAAACTGACGAACCGATCGGCATCGACTGGAAAAAAGTTGTAGGGAACGGTTTCTGACGTTGTCAGTGCGGTTAACCGAACCGTAGATCTTCAGTGGTTTCGGTGATCAGTTTTAAATATTGCGTGTCGGTCGGTTAACTGAAAACTGACTATTTTTTTCGTTTCTTTCTCCTTCATCTCCCCCAACTTTGACAATCCCTGGGCTTCCTTACTTTAGTAAATGGTTGTCCCTACTCTGCATTTTGCTTTTCTTTTTTTTTTGGGCTTTTATTTTTGTTATTTACCCTATGTAACAACTAGGCACAAGCCTAAAACTTTGGGCTTTTCTAGGAATCCAATTTCAGGAAAGGGAATTAAATTCTAGTTTTAAATTCAGAAATAGTAAAAAATATGCCAATATGAAAAGCTGGAAGTATATAGGTCAACTTTTAGTTATAGAAATTAATAGGTCATAACTTGTCAAGTTATGATTTATAACCAGATAAGTTATGGACAAACTTGTCAAGTTATGGTTCATAGCCAGACAAGTTATGGACAAAAATCGTGAATTATGGACAATAACTTGTCAAGTTATGGTTCATAACCAAACAAGTTATGAATGTAAATAATAATTTGGCATATTTATTAACTTATGTAAACTATTAACCTATTAATTTTAATTCATCCCATGTCTTAACATATTTTTCTCTTTCTCCCTTTTAAATTCTTGTATTTACGTTTGTATTTAGTAATTAAATTACGGGGCCTATCTACAAATAAGGAATTAGTTCCTTAATAAAGGGGAACTTATATTTAACCTTCTACCTACGGAATTTAATTCCTTTCCCTAATAAATAGGAACTAACTAACTTATTTATCAAATTTACCCTTATTTAAGTTAGTTATTTACTTAACAAAAGGGTATTTTTGTAAGCACATCTATTATATCCTACTCCTTTTAATTTTTTATGTAAATAAACAACATAATAAAAATTTATTTCCCCTTATAAATTAATTCCCAAATAAATTAGTAAACACTTTAATAGAGTTCTGGAACTCAATTTCGTAAAATTTAATTTCTTTTTTCTCGAAATTTATTCCTTATTTTTTCAATTCCTGATTAGTAAACATACCCTAACTTTAAAAAAAAAAAAAGACGAAGTTGTTCTTTTGTAATAAAATTCAGAAAAAATTTAAACTAAAGTTACAATTTTATTTAAGTTCATGCTCTTTTATAAAATTTGAGTTTGAACTCGAGTTTGAGACTGAATTTGAGTTCAAGTTTTTTCTTCAACTCGCGTTCATAAACTCGAACTCAAATTAATTAATAATATTTTTTTATTCTTAAAAGTGTCATAACTTTTTCATTTTAATTCTGATTGATATGATTTTCTTTTCTATGTATTCACAATAAAAAGATAAATAAAATCTCACATATATACCTTATTAAAATTTTTCATCAACATTGAGTTTTTATTAAAATATTATATAAATTTAAATTTAAATTTTAACCTACATAAATACAAATTTAAAAATTTTTTTAATTAAAATCATAACTTAAATATACACATCTAAACTCAAACTCAAATTATAATTTTAACTTAAATTATAACTAAAATTCAATTCAAAATGATCGCTCAACCACCTAACTAAAACTAAAACTGCAAAAGAAGAGCCCTATAACTTCAAACCTCAAAACCAGTAGCTGCCATTCTCCTCGACTCCTCCTCCTTCTGTCTTCATTTCCGTCGTCGAACCTCAGTGTCGCTAACATCTAATTCGCCGTTCTACTCTCTCCATTTTAGCCACGCAAGCATAGCCGGTGACCAAACCGAAACTAACAGTCACTAAACCTTCGGTTTCCACATTTTCTCGGTCGGCTTCGGTTTGTGTTTCTCCAGAAACTGACAATGTCGGTCGGTGACTGAACCGATGAAAATCTTTAGCCACCAACTGACGGACAACCATAGTCGCTGGCGTGTGCTCGACTTTGTTTTGCAATAACAAAGGTAGTTTCCCCGCTTTTCGGCTTTGGGTTTCCCACTTAGTTAGGTTGTCTACCGAACAAAGATCTCAAGGCCAACAAAAGTCTAAAACCCAAAACCCTCAAAAGTTTCCGTCTGCCGAAGAAAACAAACATGTCTAAGATGTTTCTATCTCGTATCAAACCTTCTCAAGTACCCAGTTCTTCGTCACCCCAACTAAGGAAACTAGTCCATGACACGATCCATATTCTCCAAACCAACCACCAATGGCAGAATTCTCTCCGCACCCACTTCGACCAATCCGACGTTCTTGTCTCCGACGTCGCCCATTTGGTCTTGGACCGCGTCCCCAGCGCACAGTTGGGTCTGAAGTTCTTCCACTGGGGGTCGCAGAGCCCCCATTTCCGCTTCTCAAATGGGCTAGCCTACTCTTCGCTTTTGAAGCTCTTGGCCAGGTCTAGAGCCTTCTCGGAGATCGAACCAGTGATGGGCAATATGAGAATTGAAGAAATAAAGCCGACACTTGACGCGCTGAGTCTTCTCGTCCGCGCTCATGCCGATTCGGGTTTGGTCGATAAGGCCCTTGAGTTTTACTTCAAGGTGGTTGAAATGTACGGTCGTGTGCCTAGCGTTGTCGCCTGTAATTCTTTGCTTGAAGCGCTTGTGAAGCGAAGGAGATTCGATGTTGCACGGAAGGTGTATGGTAAAATGCTTACGAGAGTTGATGGTGAAATTGACCACGTGGATAAATACAGTACTAGTATTATTGTGAAGGCTTTGTGTAAAGAAGGGAGAATTGATGAAGGAAGGAAATTGATAGAGGATAGGTGGGGAGAGGGTTGTGTCCCGGACGTGCCATTGTATAACACGCTTATTGATGGCTATTGCAAGAAGGGTGATGTGGGAAGTGCGTATGCGCTTCTTGAGGAGTTGAAGTCGAAGGGGTTTTTACCGACGTTGGCGGGCTATGGACCTGTTGTAGATGGGTTTTGCAAAGAAGGTAATTTTAAAATGATTGACCGGCTTTTGGCAGAATTGAAGGAGAGGGGTTTGATTAATGTTGATATATATAATAATGTTATAGACACAAGATATAAGCACGGTTGTGCAGTCGAAGCTGTGGTGACAGTGATGGAAATGGTTGAGAATAACTGTGAGCCTGATCTTAAAACCTATAACATCCTAATTGCTGGATCATGTAGGCTTGGAAGGCTTAAGGAAGCCAGTCAACTTTTGCAGCTAGCAAGGAAGTGGGGATTGATGCCGGATAAGTTTTCCTATACTCCTCTTCTACATGCTTATTGCAAGCAAGGAGAGCACTCTAGGGCTTTAGATATTCTTGCTGAGATGACAGGTAAAGGAGCTGCAACTGATTTGGGTTGTTATACAGCTCTCATTCATGGACTTGTTGTTGCTCAAGATGTTGATATGGCGTTAACTATCCGGGAAAAAATGAGGGACATAGGACTAGTGCCTGATGCTCAAATTTATAATGTTTTGATTAATGGAGTTTGCAAGGAAGGCAGGCTTTCTGATGCGAAGCTGCTGCTTGACGAGATGCTCGATCTAGATATACCACCTAATGCATTTGTTTATACCACTTTAGTAGATGGCCTCATTAGGAATGGCAACCTTGAAGATACGAGAAAAGTCTTCGATCTCGCAATTGAAAAGGGCATACACCTAGATGCTGTGGCATACAACGCTATGATTAAAGGTTTTTGCAAATTTGGTATGATGAAAGATGCACTATTGTGCATGAATAAAATGAGAGAAGAGCATCATTTTGCAGATGACTTTACCTATTCCACAATTATTGATGGGTATGTGAAGCAACGTGACATGGATGGCGCACTGAAGGTTTTTGGAAATGTGGTGAAAACGAGAGGCAAGGCAAATGTCGTCACCTACACTGCCTTGATCAATGGGTTCTGTAATAGGCAGGATTTTAGAGGAGCCATAAAAACTTTCAAGGAAATGCAAGCTCATGGTTTGGAGCCTAATGTGGTCACGTACAGTATATTTATTCGGAGCTTTTGTAAGGAGGGTAAACTTGCAGAAGCAGCCTTCTTCTTTGAACTAATGCTGATGAATAAGTGCCTTCCCGATAAGGTTACTTTCCATTATCTAGTAAATGGGTTCAAAGATTACACACCCGGTGCAACTCCGAATCGAATGGAGGAATCTGAGGACAATAGAAAGTCAATGTTTCTCGATTTTTTGGAAATGATGATATCAGATGGATGGGTTCCTAGTACTGCCGCTTATAATTCCATCTTGATATGCCTTTGCCAATACGGCATGGTTAGAACTGCGTTACAATTGCGCGACAAGATGATAAGCTCGGGCATGTTTCTAGATTCAGTTTCTTTTGCTTCCCTACTACATGGCCTCTGCATGGAAGAGAGATCACAGGAGTGGAAGAATATAATCCCATGTGATCTGAATGAGCAAGAACTTCAAGCAGCTCTTAAGTACTCACTTAAGATGGACCAGTACTTTTGTGAAGGAAAAACTTCCAAGACTACTCTAATTTTGCAGTCCTTGGTTGCAGGCTACAAATCTTCTGATCAGGAAGTGGAAGTTTAGAAACTATCAACAATATAAGACAATCTCGCAAATGCTAATGCCAATTAGATATTTGGCATCAAAAAGTATAATATGGTATGTTATTTTTATTTTTGCTCAAATGCATAATGCTAATTAAAATGTTAAATCTACTTTTTCCTAAAATTATTAAGCTTTGAAAGTTGTAAAAGTACACTTTTATTTTTACAATAATTAAAAAATAAAAATGTTGTAATGGTTACATGAAAAAGTAAACATTTCAGCCAATAGTAATTAAATACTAAATTTCTCATATGCTATACTTTAAGAGAAATTTGTCACAAAGTATAACATGTGAGAAATTTAACACAACAAATAGCATTATATTAGAGAGTATTTTTTTACACTTGAATGTTAAATTTACAATTGACACATCTATTGTATCGGAGATGCTTTAAAAAGGAAAATGCAGTTCTCAGAATGGACTCAGAAATGAGTGAGTGGCAAGGGAAGGTTAGTGCTACAACTATGTGAGGCTCTAATGTCCCATTAGCGAGAATCGCTTTTAGATATCTTCTCTGCTGGTCAGAACTCGGACAGAATATCCGAATTGTTCATAGATTTTTATAGGTAGAATTATTGTTCGACATTTATACTGTAATCTGGAAATTTCTTGAACTATATGCTGATGTTGTTGTTTGAGTACGACGTTTTCGAAATTCTATGATCCGGATTAGCTCTTCTTTGAAAGGACGATGGGGTTTTTCACATTTTGACATTAAAAACTCACCTAGCACAAAAGACGAGACAAAAAAAAAATAAAAATAAAATAAAAATAAAAATAAAAAAACAGCATACAAACTTACCTATAATAAGCAGCTTCATATTAGCCATGTTTATCTTGTTCTTACATTCTGAGAGTAGCCCCTAGAGAAATCTGACATGAATGAATTGATTCACCCATTTTGTTTCCCTAAAAGGTCTTTCATTTATGAGAAGATTCATGAAATTTATCAAACTTTAATACATAAAAGATTATTTTACCCTCAAAACAAATTATTAATAAATAATTTAAATGGATAATATGGTAATTTAATAAATAACTATCATATATCATTTTAATTCTCTTTTTATCATATTAAATAACATGAAAGATTACTATAATATTCTTCTTTCTTTCTACTCTTCATCCTTCTAATTCTCTCAATTCTTCCTATTCTCTATCACTCCAACCTACTCTTCATCCCTCTAACTCTTTCCATTCTTCATCCCTCTAACTCTTTTCATTCTTCCATCACTTGAACCGACCCTAAATTTTACTTGCAACCACAGTGAATAAAGTGAAATGAATTGCTCCCAAAAAAAAAAAAAAGTGAAATGAATTGCTTCACTTTAGCGCATGCGAGACGAACTTCCGCATACACTTGTCCCGTCTTGGTCTTAGTATAATAATATTCCAGGAATAAATGCTCATATTTTTTTATCCAAGCTTATGCAGTTTTTAGATTTTAATACATTATCATTATTATTACTCAAAAATAGTCTTTTAAGTAAATAGGATGACGTGATCAAATAGTAATTAATTGCCGAAGCTTTTATTATTCATTAATAATAAGGGAAATTGCACTTAATATCCGTTTTCACAAAATTTCTTACACTACAAAAAGTTCTCAACATTGTACAAACATGTAACACGACCCTTTAAAGAAAATTGTTTCAGTTTCAGTAATCTCACAACGGCCATGAACATTGGGCCAACGAATGGGGCAAGTTACATAAAAATTCGTTAAAACAAAGAAAGAACTCCCTAAAACAGGATCATAAGGGGGGGAAAAAAATCTTAATCCTACCAGACTCCTCGTCAGTGACGATAGCCACACAGATTCTTTGATCTTTTCATGAGATGAAACCTAACTTAGTAATCACAATTTAAACTCGCAAAAACAATCAGGCAAAGCTGATCCTCTCCCCATTACAAAATCATTGCGATGAGCTTTCCACATGGCTTCCGATAACTCCTTCCCTCTCAAACCCTGCGCAGTGAAATCTGCGAAAGCTTTCCTGCTTAAGAAGAGAGTCTTGTACAAGCCCTTAAAAGCTCTCATTGCTCCAACTATCTTATCCATGTTTCCAAAGTATGTTGCGATGTATGAATCGCTGTTAATGGACACGTAATAATCCAAAGCAGCTTTAGTGTTCCCATGCATTCTTCTAAAATCTTCACCACTAAGAAGGCTAGACTTTGTAACTACATTGGTGTAAATAGAAGTTAATCCTTCCATTTCCATTATACCATCCCCAGCTGCCAAATATATATTTGTGTCTGTTGGGATGGAAAGTGATTGGAGTATGAAGGCTGTCTCGTTGGGTGTAAGGGGACATTTCCCCCGTTTTCTCCAAAGCTCGGCTGGTTCTCCGGTCCATGGTTTCCTATCTCCCCGTGCTTGCTCAATTGCTTTGATGGAGCCAGGAGAAAGGCCTGTGTACTCGCACTGACTGTAAGCAACCATGTCAGGTTCAAATCGAAGGTGAAGTGACAGGAAGGGTTGAGGTATGGCTTCAAAAAGTTCAGAGGCTTTCTTCTCCAAGGATCTTGTGAGGCGTAGTGCATTGTAACAAGCTTGACATAGAGCAGCTTTCGCGTACTGTGGATATCTATATGCTCCACAATCAAATTGATTTCAGTGAAATGAAAGACAAACATTTCAACTATCCTTTTACAAGACATCGAAGGTCTACTTTATGCAACCATACAACTATAATAGAAATCAAATTGTGTTAACTTTCAAAACCTTTTCCTGAATATTTTAGCAAAGTTTACGGACACAATTACTGATCCACCAAAGTGACCTTATCCCGTTCAATTTAAGTTTGCTAATATTACTATCAATAACAGAAAAGCAATCAAATAAAATGGGAAAAAAAAAATACCTGTCCCTTCTTTGGCTCATAGCAGGTGTCATTGAAATATAACGATGTTCCAAAAGCAAAGGAAGTACACTTTCAATATAATCAAATTGACCTTTGCGTTTGCTACAATCTACACGGACTGGTTTCTTTGATGCAATCTCTGGTGGCAACTCTTTGGCAACTTTAATGAAGCCCTCCATTTGCTGAATGAAGTAGTCAACATCAAATACATCTGCAAAACCACTGTGGTGATTTCAATAGTTAGATTTGGAGAACTAGGATCCTGCTATGTAACGGTAACTGGTAAGGGGTAATTACCCCAATCCATGCATCTTTGCAAACTTCAATAATCCATGCATCTATGGTTAGAGGTAATGCCGTAATGGTAACATTATGTAGTCTATAGAGAGAGAGAGAGAGAGAGAGAGAGAGAGAGACTTGAAAAGTTCAAACAATGTGTACGCAGCTTAAAGCAACTTCCAGGGAACTGCTAAACACATCATATATTACCTTGATTCATCCCAGTAGGCAGCCACTTCAAACTTTGGCAAAACCAACGTTGCATTTAAAAGACGGGCAATACCAACACCGTCACACAACTGCATTCATCACAAAACAAATCCAAAGCTCAGAAAAGCTACAATGAAATTTGAGCTTGTTTGAAAAGAGGATCTCGAAGTTGCTACTAAGTAAAAGACCCATCACTCACATCTCTTCTCATCTGGTTAAGACCGCCATAGCAATCCACTCGGATATATCCATTACTTTGGGCTGGCAGAACTGCACCATTTCAACAAAAAACGAAAGCAATTGTCTGCAATGAAAGTCAACTATATTGACTCAGAATATCAAAACAATTGAATCCCAAACCCATCTAATCTTTACTACAGTCAATCTCAGCTAAAATACACACAATTTCCCATTTTATTTTTCCATTTTCCCTTTAAGGCTGTTATGGCCAGAATGTTAAAACTAAACAACTTTACATAACTAGCATACAGCAAATATCTCACGAAAACTTCTAACAGAGAATGCAATTGAACTTAATTTTCCTAAGCATATTTTTCACAGAAAAATTAGATAGTCGAAAAGAACCCAATCATAGGTTATGGTAACAAATCTACGTGCATAACAACCACCCTGAAAACAATTTGAAAAGAACGAAGGAAAAAATAAAAAAATAAAAAAATAAATTTAAGGTACCAGGAAGATGTCCTTGTAGCCACCACTTGCAAGGTTTCCACTCAAACATCCTCCGTACACTCCATATATCCTTTTCATCACTGCATTCACAGATTTCAACACATCAAATTCATTCCCAAAAAAAGTTGCAGAATTTAATAAACCTCCCAAAACACACTTGTGACCGCAATCGAGATAAGAGCAAATTGATGGAGATTCAGAGGAAAAGAAATTTATGATTTTTGCTCGGATCTTAATCTTTCCAGTGTTTCAAATGAATGAAATTCGCAAGACAAAAGGAAATCATACGTACTGTTGTGAAGAGGAAATGAGTCGCATTTGAGTTTGTGAGAAAGGAGAAGAGGGAGACAGGAGAAGCATGGCGAGAAGAAGAGAGAGAGAGACCACCGCTATTGTGAAGGTGGGCTTCACTGAAATCCTCACCACCATATTCCTCCTGATTCCTCCAATTCCCAATTCCAAAGAAAAACACGAAAAAACGAAAGATCTGGATTTTGCGTTGCTATAGTGAAATAAGGGCTAGCTTTTGCAATCACTTTGATACCAGATTCAGAAATTTAGCTCGGAGAGAAATCCTGTGGCGTATGAATCTCTTCTGTTGCTGAGACTCCGACTTTGGACTCTAATGGCGGTAATTGTATGACCATGAAAATGGAAAAACTTTTTATTTATTTATTTATCCCTTATTTTTTGAAGGAATTTAGTTTTTTTTTTTTTTCTTTTAATTTTGTTTTTTTCGAGGAACAATATCGTTTATGATTCATCAAACCGTTTTCACTTAGAAAAACAGTTTATTATATGAAACTGAAACGACATGTCGTTTGTTAAAGGTCAATAATGTCGTTGGCAATGAAAGGACAAAGGATGAGAATGAGAAATAATTAATAGCATTTCGATTAAAATTTGAACGTAAGAAAATTATGCACGTTTACTAATTTTTACAACATGCCCATTTTTGGTTCAGCTATCATCTTAGAAATAACTATTTTTTGATCGAAGTAATCACTAATACGGTTTATTTGTTATGTCATGGTAACTAATGAGTAGTACAAATAGTTTATGTTTACTACTATATTATGAACCAATACTTGTTAATAATTGATGGAAAAAAATTATAAATACTTTCACAAATAAATATCATTTTCATAACAATAATGGTATGAAATGCTAGTACAAGTCTAAATAAATAAAATAGTCTTGCGGTAAATTTTCATCAAGTGTAGAGCTCAAATCCTCACCTTGAGGTTTAAAAAAAAAAAGGACGAACTTGTATAGGCATTTTTGATTGGCTATACGTTTCCAGATTGGCCTCCCTTGATTGATCCCTCATACTCATTCAGAACAGTCAACTAAACTTCAGTGATTAATCAATTTCACTTTGAGCAAGAAAAATGAATCGTTTAGCTTGAAACTAAATGCATTATACATACGGTTGGTAAAATATTATTTCAGGTTAGGAAATTATACCAGACAAATCAAACGGTGAATTAAACTTCTACTTCATGCAAATCATCTGGGCAAACGACAAACTAATTACTTTTTGGTGTTGATCACTCACTTTCAAGATCAGATTCTTCACGTCTTGATGTTTTAAAAGCCCTACCACCTCTCATTAAGTTTGCAAACTCTTGTATTAAGCAAGAAGTGCTTCTTTCCATTTTACGTGCAATAATGTCAATATGCTCAAGGAGCCCTAATCCCAGAAGACGGTTCCTCAACATCTCAACTGTAGTTGAATACGGTGGTATTCCTTCGTCGATCATCGTCTCGAAGTACTTACACGCCTCCTCTAGTTTACCCTTTTTCTTACAGAGGCCATGAATCATGACAGCGTATGTTGACACCGAAGGATAAAATCCTTTCACCGCCATGTTCTCCCAAACCTCGGTCATCCTGTCGAATCTCCCTATCCCGATCAGTAGTTTGAGCACCATGTTATAAGTATGCCGATCTGGCTTACAGTCTTTTTCCATTCTCGACAATAACCTAAGAGCTCTATGGACCTCGCAATGATCACAATGGAAAGCAAGGATTGCATTGTAACTCCACGAATCTGGTCTAACTCCGTTTTCGATCATTTCCTCCAAGAGTTGGTAAGCTTCATCCACCTTTTCATTCTTGCAAAGTTTCTTGATTATAAGATTGTAAGTAAAGACATTTGGCAAGAGATCATATCTCCTCATTCGATCAAGCACGCGAAAAACCGAGTGAATGTCATTTGCTTCACAATAGGTGCGGATGAAAACCGAGTATGTGCACGCATCCGGGCTAACTCCTTTCTCCTTCATACCCCGAAAAATCTCATAAGCCTCATCAGCACTTCCTCCTTTGCACAAAGCCTCCAAATAACTATTATACGCAAGCACATCAAGAAAACAGCCTCTCTGAAGCATTTCATCGAACAACTCACGGGCATGACTTGCGTCGCCTAAATCGCCCCAACCACGGATCAAAATGCTGAAAGTTTTCACGCTCGGCTCAAACCCGCCCTTAACTTTGTCGAAAAATTCATGGGCATGTTTCACGTGCTTCCTTTTGCATAAAGCATACAAAAGCTGATCAAGATCATGAACACACGGCTTAACTCCAAACTCAACCATTCTATTAAACGCCCGGATCGCATCACGCGGCAAATTAGCTCTACAATATGCTCTGAAAACAATCCAGAAAATCTCGGGACTGATTTCGCAACATTTCGACTCCCTAACGTCCATAAGAAGATCCCACATCACGGCGAATTGCTTGCTACTTCCCAAAACATCAACCAAAATGTGGTAGCTTTCGACGCTGTGTTCGAAACCCGGGATTTTCTTGGCCCAAAGGAAGAACCTGTGCGCGGAGAAGCCGAGGTTTTGGCACCTCTTGAGCACCTGTTCGACCAGGTTTGTCGATATCTGCGTCGAGAAAGCGGCGAGGGAATGTTCCAAGTCGTCATGGGCGTTCCGGCGGTCGCTTAGCACGCGAGAGACGTCGTTCACGGGATCCGCCGGGGGCGGCGGCGGGGGGTGTTGTACGGCGGGAGAACAAAAGCTGTGGAGGGTTTGGAGGTTGGATGAGGGAAAGGAGCGGAAGACGGCTTGAATGACCGTGCGTTTTGAGAAGAGAGTCCTCATGGCCATATTATGTAGAATTGCACCCATTTGACTCCGATAACGTTTGTGCTTTATTAGGGCCGGCAATATGGGTCATGACACGACAACACGACTTGAAAACGACACAAATTTTACGAGTTAGGGTTGAGAAAAAAGAGGTTCGGGTCAGAATTGGGTCGACCTGAAATTGACACGAAAAATACGGGTCAATTTCAGGTTGAACCCGCCTAACCCGAACACGACACGAAACTCGTAAAAAACTAAAAAATACATATATTTTTCATTTCATATTTTAAATTTTATTATGAACTTGTGATATCATGATAGTTATACTCAAAATCTTATACTATTATTTGCTTAATTTCAATGGATGTTATTGTAATTTAGTGTGTTATGAATTTTAAGTTATTTCTAATATGTAAAAAACTAAATAAAAATATACAATTTTCGTGTCAATTTCGGGTTCACGGGTCAATTTCGTGTCACGGGTCATTTTCAGGTCGTGTCGTGTCAGCTCGTAAAGTGGTCGTGTCGTGTTCGTGTTGCGGTTTTTAAAAAATTTCGTGTCACGAGTCGTGTTCGGGTTAGCTGAAAATTTTAAAAAAATGATCAAAACACGACACGAACACGACACGTGACACGAATTGCCACCCCTATGCTTTATGGTTCTTTTTTTTTTTGCTACTCAAAAAGAGATCTTAAGTGCACTTCATGTCGTCTAACTCTTTCAGCTATAATAAATAATTTCAGAGACCACTAAGTATGTGAAAAAAACCATGTCCCCTAATCCCTTCGATTATAGTAAGCAATCTCAGAGACCACTAAGTATGTAAAAAATGCTTGAATTAGTCTCTCAGTGACTATTCATTCAATTTTCACTTCCTTCCATCCTATGAGGCCCGTGGAGACCCACTTAATTTCTCACAAAGGATAACACAACAACACACAAATACGGAATATTAAATCATAAAATGATGACAAACGAGACCTAACAAAGACGTCATTACCATTATACTATTTTAGATGTTTTAACATTGCAATTTTAAAATTTTTAATTATTTTCAAATTTATATATTTCTCTCTAAACTTGAAATAAATGTTAAAGTCTAGTGTAAAATGGATGCTTAAGCAAAGCTGGCTCAATAATTTTACAATTTCATTATATTGCAATGAATGACATGAGCAATAAGAAATGAGGCATCAAAATAAGATAAAATGTAATTCCTTCTTTGACCAATTACCTAAATAGGTTGAGAACTTGTGGCATTGTTTCATAGATGCCCTAAATTTGCCTACGCTTTTGTTAACTAATGTTTAAAAAAAAAAAAAAAAAAAAAAAAAAATTGCTGAGAAAAGGCACTTTCAATAATAATATATATATATATATATATAGAGAGAGAGAGAGAGAGAGAGAGAGAGAGAGAGAGAGAGAGAGAGAGAGAGAGAGAGAGAGAGAGAGAGAGAGAGAGAGAGAGAGAGAGAGAGAGAGAGAGAGAGAGAGAGAGAGAGAGAGAGAGAGAGAGAGAGAGAGAGAGAGAGAGAGAGAGAGAGAGAGAGAGAGAGAGAGAGAGAGAGAGAGAGAGAGAGAGAGAGAGCGCTGAGGGTATAGATGCCGGACGCAAATTCCTTTCACAACAGATTCTAAGCTAAATAGAACATTTCCGCAAAAAATTATGTATCTTAACTCAATTTAGAGTACATAATTCAAATCTAGCTTAAGGATAGGAGAGTTCTTTTTCAGGTTACATCTCGATTCTCTTGTTCAGCTCTGCTCTTCATTTTCTCTAGCCTCCTTCTCCTCCGCAGCAGCAGCCATTATTTCGTCGAAGTTTTCTGTCTTCCCAAGGACTATCTCAATCTAAATGGGGAAAAAAAGGAACTCCAGTTTATTCTCTTAGAAGTATCAGAAAAGGTCATATGAAGGTAAAGCTAAGATGATACACCATTAATATAACGGATTCTGAAAGAGTCAAATGAAAGACATTCTCCGAGTCACGAGGAAAAAGTTCGATGTATTTACCTTGGCTTTTTGGACAGGTCTTCCTCTAGAATCATCCTTTATGTCAACAGTTGATGTCATAATCTCTGCGTTGAAATATAGAAATAAATAAAATCGAATGCTTAACAATTTTTTTGTATTCAGAGCAAAACTGAAGCCTGATACTCACTCTTCTCAAGAGCCAGCCCGTTATTCTTCAGTATTTCAGCAATTGTGACGACAGTGGCAATAGCTGCAATAGGAGGGAAAGAATACAGAATGATTGCCAAATACAAGATTTAGTATGTTTACATCTCATGAATATTCAATTGTACTGATGCAAAAAGTCAAAACCAATAAAACTCATCCTTCAGTGTCTCTCACTTTAATCTTTCTGAGCTCCTTTTGACTTCATTATTCGTTCAAAAAAGCTGTCTAGTGTCATCTATAGTAACTACTGATAGGAAGAATCTCCATCAATATTGTAGGTGACAATGCATACAGAAAAGATGGGTACCCAGGACTAAACTACCTTTTTGCATTAAGGCATTGAGGCTTATATACCACCTGAATATGTTTCTAAATTTCCTTTAATAAAATCTTAACTAAGTCTATTTCATGATGATTGAGACAAAACACCAAACTAAATATAACTCAGCTTCACTTGTATCCAGTGAGTTATCTATCTGACGAAATACACTCTATTGACACTTCATAAATGCCCAAATAACATTTGGGTTCAACAAACTTTAGACTGAACTTGGTTAAGTCTCCTTATTTCCCTCACATTCAGTACAATTTTAACCCTAGACATGAAAAAACGAACAAGTTTGGCTTAAGAATGCAGATAAAGAAAAAAACCATTATTGTTTAGTTCCAGAAAGTCCCAATAAAGAGAATCAGTTCCAGGAGTTAATACCCATTCCTAAAGCCGAGAGCTCAACCTCATTGTATTGTTGCATATATCTCTGGAAAAAAAAAAAAAACAAATGCCAAACACAGAATCAAAATAAACCGAGAAAGTAATTGTAGATTTTTGCTAAGAAATTGTAGATTTTTGCTACTATTCTCAGACGGAAAAATAAAATATGCTTTCACCTAAAATAAATTTAGATTGGGGAAAATACGAAGAATGAGAACAGGGGAGGCTAGGGTTTTACCTTAGCCAGATTAACGTAGAAGAAAAGGGGCTTTTTGGTGTTGGAAACCTGAATACGGTTCCTTTTCTGTGAATCTGAGATGTTGATGTTGTTAACACCATCTGTAATCTCTTCCATTGCAGGAAAACAACAAAGCCAACTGTTCTCAAAAACCCTAACCCTAATCCTAAATCCTATTCTCTTCACACTCTCTCTCTCTCTTTACTCCACTCTGTCCCTATCTGTAAAAAGAACTCATAATATATTAACGGGGTCCTGAAGTTCGAAAGTGCTTCAAAAATAATTTTCTGTCGTTTTTCGATTTTTTTTTTTTTTTTTTTTGTCTTTTGGATCAGTTTCTGTCGTTTTCAATTTTTACGTCGTTTTGCGTTTCCTGTTGGCTTTTCGGTCCATGTCGTTAACTATGATGTTGTCGTTTTCTAAAACCACGTAGACGTAGTTTTTGGTGTTGCTGCCGTTTTCCTTTTTGCCGTTGCTCGTTTCGTTATTCAGTCGATCTCGGTTTCCCGCTTGTTTTCGTTTCATGTCGGTTATTATCGTTTTCCGATTTCTAGTTTTCAACTTCATTCACATCGTTTCTTGTTGATACTTTCTTTTTTTCTTTTTCCAATTTTATATCGTTTCTGTTCCTGTTTCAGTTGATGTGTCTTTTTTTTCATATTTTATGTCCGTTCTTCAAATTGTATGTTTATTTATTCTACTTTCAAATTATATATTTTTCATATTTTATGTCCGTTATTTAAATTGTATGTTCATTCATTCTACTTTCAAATTGTATGTTCATTCATTCTACTTTTAAATTGTATGTTCATTCATTCTACTTCTTGTCTTTTTCTGAACAACTATGTTTCATTTTGTTGTCGTTTTACAATTTTCCAGTATATGTTGTTTTCTAAGCGATTGTAATTTTGATTCAAAATTCCCAAAAAGAGTGTGTTCGAGATAAAAAGCTAGAGAAAAAAAAAAATGTAAATGCCCCAATAAAGCTGATAACTATTCTTACTCAAAGCTTTCAAGAGTCAGAAAGAGCTGGAGTCTCTCCAATTGTATTTCAACAAATTACATGCAAACTGTGTGGGTCGACGAATGATCAAACGACATATAACAATACATTTTATTAGTTGATTGGACTTGAGAACAAGAGAAAAATAATCCTCATTAAATTCCCAAGCCAGGAAAAGTGTGCATATAATGACGATCCTCCTGTTATAAATATCATCATTGGGCACAAAATGAACTGCATTATTTGCCTCTTGAAAAAACATGATTTATCTATACTCCTAGAGAAAAAAAAAAAAAAAAAAAAAACTAGATACATTTAAAAAAAAAATTATCAAATCCATTACAATTAAAATTATTAGTCTTAATTTAGAGTTTAAACCATCATCAATGCAACAGGCTCTACTTCATAAAAATTTAGTCTCACCTCCCCAGCCCAAATCAAACTTAAAGTAAGGACTTTAACTTCTGTCTCATGAACCGTAAAAACACTACTTAATTTTTTAGGCAAAACTGTTATAACAAATCTAATAAAATCTCGTATAATAATTCGAAATCTCATTGTCTCTTAGCAACACGTAAATTGAGCTTGTAGCAATCCTAATATAGAGGATTCCATTTAGCATATTGTGCCTTGGATAAAATATTTTTCCACACCTACATAGCATAGTTATCGATTAAATAAGGGTTAAAGATTAATAAACAAAAAAAAAAATGTTACTGATGATAATAAACCAAGAAGAACTTCTATAAGAGTATATGATAAAACACTAACAAATCTAAAATACAAAATAATAGGATGATAAGAAACCGTAAAACTGTTGGGATATATGCCCATAAATCAAATAAGATGTAAATATTTTGCTGATTATCAATGAAATGAGGAATTTTTTTAATATTATTTTGCATACATGTGATGTTTTATAAATATCAAAATCCCTAGATTATTTTTAGATGTAACTTTAAACATTGTATATAATTATTATATGCAGAGGATAATGTTTGAAATAAAATAATCTAAACTTATCCGTAATTATAAATTAAAGTTGGGATCTTTAATTTAAAATTACTAATGCGGTTCATTACATTCTGAATGAAATAATCTTATCATAGATTGTTAATAATGGGATTATTGAAATGAAAGCATTTTATGTAATATGATTACATAGGACCGGAACGCGATTAATTATGAATCTCTAATAAATTCCGTTATTAAATAGAGTATTCAATATTAATCAATGATGGTCATATATATATTAATCTTAATTCTGAGTAATTAATAAACTCCTATTTATGATATTATGTTCTTTGACATATTGAGTAATGACACATGTGAATAGTGTCAAAGTCTTAGTATATTGGGAGCATAGTAAAATAAATAGCCGAGAATATTAATTTACAAGATGAAAT